ATACTAAGACGTGAGTTAGAAGATGTAATTATCACTACATAGTATAAAACAAAGTCGCTTTCTCTGTCCCTATATCCCTATGTATGCTTAAATCTTTAAAACTACGCAACGGATTTTGATGCGGTTTTTTTAATAGATAGAGTGATTGAAGAGGAAGGTTTATATGTATAATAACATCCATTAAATAGTGGAGAAATCAATAATAAGTTACAGTTTCCGAAGCGAAGCGAGGGCGGGTCGCTAATATTATAGTTACATATTTGTTGTCCTACACTTGAGCTCGAAATACGCCTGTAAAAACATATTATTATCAGCTTGGTATTTAATCTTGTTCATAAAATAAAATATTCAACGAAGCGTTTATCTTTTCTTGTTCGTTCAATAAATTAGATTTACTGTTAATATCTGCAGAAAACAATGCTACAGCTTAATAATATTTTAGGTAGGCCTCTTGTAGCAAAGGATCATTACCCAGCAGTATTCTAGTAATATTTTTTCTATTATTACTACAACTTCTGAAGATACAATCATCATTGATTCATAAACTTAACGTGTTAAATTTCTATCTAGAAATCACTGTCCCTTCAAAAAAGCTCAGCCAGAAATAACAGAGCATTATTAGAGCTTCGCAGAACTTAGACGTGAAAATAATAAATATTCTTCGTTCATTTGAAAGCGTCGCGATAAGCTTCCGTCGAACTTTGCATCGGAATATTTCCCACAGTTATCGAGTGCTCGTGCGACTCCCATCGGAAACAGTGATCGCTTCGCGTTACATGAATAATAAATGTGTTTATTTAAAGATGCCGCTAATAGCTAATGAATATTATAACAGAAAATATTATCTAAATTAAAATATTAATTAGTTGAAAAAGGAAAACGTAAATAAATTACAGCGCGTCGTATTTAATGTAAATGTTATCGTGATTCAATCTTAATTGTTTCGAGCTAATTAAACTCTAGTATTTGTGTCGTACAAGCTCTGACGGAAACCCTATTCCGTTGCAAGAATCATTGAAATTCGAAGAGAGTAACATTTCCTACCATTTTTGTGCGCCTGGTATTTTCAGTACGTCAGCCTTAAATGTCATACCGGATCGTTTTTCTATGCTGGCGTGTGTGGGCAGACTAATGTCTGCCTCTTGCTAAGCGGTTGTCAGAATTGAAGCGAGTTGCAGAACAAGAGCTAAGCTATGCCAACTTAGATCGCATACCCGGGAAAACCTTTCACACTTGTGTGCAAGCTATGTGAGTTTAGCTCCGTAAAGTAGACGACATATTTGAAATTAAGAAATTAAGACTTGTTGTTGTGTGAGTTAAGTTAATCTTCTCGCAGTTCACCCGGCACGCACCCTTGGCGCGTTATACCTATAAACCTAACTATTGTACTTACTTGTTTTTTTCTTAGCTGTTGTTATACATGTAAAAAAACTAATTTTTCTATTAGATTTAGCTCAAATTTCGCTATATAAGCCTCGCTCTATAGCTTAGCTTTTGTTCTGCAACTGACTTAAAATTCCACAAGTTCATTGCTACCTTACGGCCTGGTCACGGGGATCGGCGGTGCGAACAGCGAAGCGGTGGGCGAGGCGACCATTCGCGCAGCACCGTTTGCAGGCCACGGGTACTCACGTTCGCCGCCGCGACTAGTAAGGAAGTCCGACAGCGAAATGTCTATATCGAAATTATCTCGATATTGCTTACAAATTAATAGTTTTTTGGTTCAGGACCTATTATTTGGAAAAGATTGTGAAGTACATGATTTGAATAAGAATCGGAGTATACCTATAGATGGAGAATTCCACAAGAAGTACGAGAAATACTTTGGGTGGCTAGACTTCCAAATAGCTGGTCTAGCTAGTATTTCAGCTATTTTATTTTTTTATTGCTTAGATGGGTGGACGAGCTCACAGCCCACCTTGTGTTAAGTGGTTACTGGAGCCCATAGACATCCACAACGTAAATGCGCCACCCACCTTGAGATATAAGTTCTAAGGTCTCAAGTATAGTTATAATGGCTGCCTCACCCTTCAAACCGAAACGCATTACTACTTCACGGCAGAAATAGGCAGGGTGGTAGTACCCACCCGTGTAGACTCACAAGAGGTCCTACCACCAGTAATTACGCAAATTATTATTTTGAAGATTTCATTTTTATCACACGATGTTATTCCTTCACCGTGGAAATCAATCGTGAACGTTGAGTGTTGTTGAGTACGTATTTCATTACAAAAATTGGTACCCGCCTGATATTCGAACACCGGTGCATCGCTCAACACGATTGCACCGGACGTCCGTTAGGCCACGACGACTTTAAAAATATAAAATAAAAAATAAATAAAAAATATAAAAATTTCGGCGTTAATTTTTCGCGGCGAAAACAACTAAACTCATTTAATCACTGCACTATTCGCCGCGACTACCGCTCGACTCCGTGGCTCGCGCCGTCCGTATTCATGCATTTGTTTTGCTCGCCCGCCGCATCGCGCGATTCGCTCGGTACATTTCGCCGGTCGCTTCGCCGGTCGCCGGTGCGCGTGGCTTGTTAGGTACATTTCTATGCGCTTGTTTTAGTCGCTAGACGCTTCGCCGTTCGCACCGCGCGAATATTCGCATCGGCGAATGTCCCGTGGCCAGGCTGTTATACATTGAGAAATCTCAATTGCATTAAAATTATATTATTGTAAACGTGAAACTTACGGAAAAGGTAGTATTTATAGTATTGTATGTCATCAAATAAACAAGGAATCCACATGTCCACGAGTGCTCTGTCAAAAGTAACCGACTATGATGACGTGATCAAATAGCAAATGCGTACGCGGAACACAAATGCATCGGCGTTTTTGAGATTTGGTGTTGGTGGAAGATGTTCCGAATGTTATGGACATAAATTCGAACCAACTTACTTATGCGTGTTCAGCTCAATGACAAGGAAAGGTTCTGCTTCAAGTGAATGTTACATTACTTTGGAGACATTGCTAGGAAAGAGGTAGGCAATTTCGGAAAACATGGTCTCAGGCTAACTGGAAAGAAACAGAGCAGCGAGAAAGACGATTAAATGAAGTGAAAATGATACTATTAATACTAGCTCGCATAATCTTTTGTTTTTTTTTCCTTCTATTTGGGAGAACTAGGTAACGCTCCACGCAGTATGTACTGGTTTACAGAGCCAATGGATGTTACAACGTAGATGCCGCCGGCGTCACCTACCTTGAGACTTAATATGAAGTTGAAGCCTCAGTTTCATTGTTTTTTTTTTTATTGCTTAGATGGGTGGACAAGCTCACAGCACACCTGGTGTAAAGTGGTTACTGGAGCCCATGTATAGTTACAACGGCTGCCCCACCCTTCAAACCGAAACGCATTACTGCTTCACGGCAGAAATAGGCAGGGTGGTGGTACCTACCCGCGCGGACTCACAAGAGGCCCTACCACCAGTAAAGAGGCCCTACCACCAGTAAAACCTACCTTGAGACCTAATATGAAGTTGAAGCCTCAGTTTCATTATAGTTTTAGATAGGAAGAATTACTGATAGTCCGAAAGCTCTTCTAGTTTCGCCAGAACAGGTGAGCGACCGCGGACTCAGACAGGAGGGGTAGGATTTGCTAACATCTGCACGAGCACCTCCGAAAGAGACCTAACAGCTCAAACATAGTTGCTTCGCGAATATATCTAATATCGGATCGGAGTCGCGACCCGCTGAGCGACCTGCGGGCTCATGTATGGGTTAGGTAGGTATTCATTTAACGGTTGGGCAAAAACGGCAAATCTGTATGAGCTTGCAAACTTTTATTATATAAAAAGCGTGAAAATATGCAACTTAACCTGGTGTTTTACTTATCAGTGAAGGTGTTATCTGTAACGAGCATTTCTGCTGTCTGTACGTACGGTTTGTATTCCGGTAGGGCTCTTATCGCCTTTTAAGACCCACTACGCGCGTATTTTTGTGTGGAGACCAGTGTGCTTAGTGCGAGTTTTTAACGTTTTCGATAGCGTAAAAGTTATCTCAAATTTGTATTGAGTTGGAACGTTTGGCGCTAGGGACGCTGTTCCAACTGCATACAAATTTGAGTTAACTTTTACGCTATCGAGAACGTTAAAAAACTCGCACTAAGCACACTGATTATTTTGTTGAAATATATTATTTTTTCCCTCTATTCAACATATAAATGTACATCATTATTTCATTTTTAAGGCTGTTCTGTTTGGATGTTAAAATATCTAGCATACGCAGTATTTTTTAATATACACTCTCATTTTTAATGCGGTTTGGATGTTAAAAAGTTTGGCATACGCAGGCTTTGTAATATACTACATAACTGCAGCTAGGCCTTGGACCCACTCGGTTTTGCGGTTACTGAATGGCCAGTTGGACACGGTCACAGCCAAGTTATAAACGATCGCTAACGTTGCTTGAACTAGCGAAATTTAGATTAAATAGAACTTAAACAAAAATCCATTAGCAATAATGTTCTGATCAATTTGATGGCGACACGATAGCCCCTACTGTTTGTTATCTGTTAGGAAATTTCGTCATCCTATTGATGACAGCATTTCCACGTTCTTTCGAAAGATGAACTGTGCGATAGTGTGATAGGCTAATGAGGAGTAAGCCGCAGCATGACTTCATTACAAAATTAATGTGTGTAGCATGAAAACGGACACCGTGAGAACAGACATTTAGGTACAAAGAAATTATCTTGATTATTTAACGATAACTGGCTTCGTTCTCATTATTCATAACAGACACGAGTGCAACGCGCGATTATGCACTTTAAAATCGAGAGGCCTAATGAAGGATATCGCTTGAGCTCCAAGTACAGTTCGTTAGCGGTTGATTGTATGAAAATGATTCATTAAAACTGAAGCCGAGTTAATTGGGTAAAATGAAATCCGCCTAATTGACGTTTAAATATTAACGGGAAGAGATAATGTGTGTTCTTTAAATAAGTTTTAGGTTATCAATTTTGTAGTGATTTTGATAGTTGGGTTATTTAAAGAGATTTGAGGTTCTAATTTTAAGGTACATTCCGGATTTCCTCCTCGCAATCATTCATAGAAACAAAATAGGTTATTGAAAACATATTTATTAAGTTTCAAAGTACTTACCTAAGCTAAATTATATGATTTTTAAAAGCATTCATAATCAATTTAACGATTAATATCACAGCGGTAACTTAGGTGCTACACTAAACTAAGAAACAATTTAAATGCTTTACCGACGTGGAAAATGTTGAAGTTGTCTTCGATCAGGCTAGTAGTAGAATTTAAAAAGAACAAATTTATGTCAAAAAAAGAACCTTACTTTATTCGTATTAATTAAAAAAAATATTAAAAAAAAAAACTTCAACAAGCAAGCAATGAAAACAATCAAACAACACACTTCGGTTCTAGGAACGTTTTTAAAACAAAAAACAAAAAGGAAATAATAGTCTATGGTATATCACGCACAGTGCGAGGCATGGGAGATCATGAGGAGCAGCAGCAGAGGCAGTAGCGGTCACCAGGGTCGCCACATCGACTGGGCGGAGTCAGTTTCGGAGGCGGGGCTGTGCGGCGGGGAAGGCGGCGCGTACGCACGTTTCGCGACCTGCGCTTCCGCATCCACCGGACCTTCGTTCGGTCTCTTCATGACTCTCTCCGGAGAATGCATCCTCTGAACGGGCATCAGACCCTGATGTGTCTGAGGCGCAGGAGCTATGGGCTGCAGAGGAGTCGGTCTTGCAAGACCATTCGGCGCTATTGGCTGAGGCTGCACAACTTGTGAATTTTCCAATCTCCTTATGCAGTTGCTTAAATGTTGCAGGAGTCTCGCTCCTGCTTGAGGATCGACCGGTCCCTGCCGCTGCATCGCATTGGCAGCCAACGTTGCATTTGCAATAAATTGAGACACTTCCGTAGCGCACTGAGTAAAACCGGCACGAAAACGTTCTGTGTAAGACATTTCAGGTTTCACAACTAGCTGTCCGCGTTGCTTCAGATTGTGTAGATGCCTCACTGTGAGTTCCAAGATGTCAGCTTTTTCCAACTTTGAGACGTTCTCCCCTTCTGCTTGTAGAGCTGTCACCATGAGGTCTTTTAATTCGTCGAGGCAGCGGTTGATGCGGGCTCGTCTTTTCCTTTCGAGCATCGGTTTCATCACTTTTCTGTACTGATACGTTCTGGATACGGGTTCTTCATCAGGCTGTTCGTGTGGAGGATGAAAGACGCCGTGCGACGGCGACATACTCCGAACGGGTAGTATCATTTGGGTTGCGCGCGCGGCTGTCTGAGAGCGAATGGCGCGCGCGCCGCCCGCCGCTTTGCTTTTATGCGCCCTGCACCGATTGTGGCAAAACGCCCGTGATAAAACTAGGGGTGCTAAACACACTTTTAAATTAAAATATATATAATATAAATTTATTTAATTTACTTTTTTTATTGCATTAGATTTTATTGGGCGAATCAAGCAGCGCTGTATTTAGCATTGAACTTTTGTTGTAAAAATAGGAAAATAAAATAAAAATGGCAATTACGAGGAGTTGGTTTTGCGGTTCTTCTCTGGGTAGGAGTAGGTAAGTTACATTCTATATATACTTCACAAATTAATTCAAATCAAAATATCAAAAAGTTTTATATTAAATTTTATGAATTTGTATGAAAAAGAAGATTCTGTTAGTTTTAAAATGACGATGCATTGCAATTTGCATTTTTGTGATTTTTACTTCCCCTTTGTATTACTTAGTACCTACATAATTTTAGGAGTTATAATGTGCTAAACTGCAATGAATATAATAATAACACATCAGCTAAAATTATCCGGACTGTTTGATATGAATTAACGTATTTCATCGGAGTATTCATTTAGATAAAATCTGCGTACCAAAGACAATAATTAGCAGTAATGTTTATAAATTTTCAAATCACCATTTAATTTCGTTACAAAGTTCACTGACAGCAAAGAGATGTGCTTAATAAAATTCTCAGCGACATAAAATCGATTCTGTAGAACGTTAGTTGCTTGGCGATACAAGGCCAGCTGTTCGAACTAATCCAGGGAGGGTCTTGGCTGATGTCACCTGGTACGCACGGGTTCCCACGCGCTCCCCACACCTAGACGCAAGACAAGACGCTTCCCCTACGCTTCGTCAACAATGACGTCATATACAGTACACTTCATAAAGTAACAATGACATTAGAAGCTATAGTATAGTATTTCGTACTAAGGCAATATTTTGATTATAGGAAATCATAGGAAATCATTGAATAGTTTTTAAGTTTTACATTTTAAATCTAATTCAGCTTTAACGTTTTCAATTGAACTTGCTAGTTTTGTGGATAATATGTTTAAAATCAACAAAAAAGATTTTATTAGATTTCCGAAACAAACTAAATGTTTGTTACTTATTTTATTCATAAAGTAAAACGAACTACACTGTTTTAATGACGTATGAATGTGTGAACATCATCATTATGAAAAATGTTTTAGTATTTTATCTTGCGAAAAAGCTGTATGCAATGAAAACGAACAATACTCACTCGTATACTTAATATTAAGTAAATGTAAGCATACATGAAATCTTATATACGCTCTGTTTTATGAGTCTAATTTTAATAACACTGTTATTGTATTTTCATCAATATTAATAACTTAAAGCGTAGCAAAAATTTACCTAAGTCATATTCATCAAGATGGAGTTTTTATACTCGTATATAGATTTATTTTAAACATTCAATTAAATTTTCATATGCCACAGAGAATATTTAAACGAATCTTCTTAAGCGTTGTTGACAGCCCTAGGCTCTAGGCGGGCCGCACACAAGACCTCGTCGCAGGCGTGTTATCGCCTCTCGGTCATGTAGACAGATTGACGAACAGAAATTACTGTTGCATTTCATATTTTAGTACCTAACACAATTTTATTTAAAATGTGCGGCATGGTTTGGGATATTGCACCTCGAATTCGAAGGTAAGTGTTTTCAATTTAATTTTAAAAGTTCTTAGAGAAGAGAAGACTTTGGTATTGTTTATTAATATGTATATTTATCGAAAAACATATTGCGTGTTTTATATCGACTTACACGATAAAATATACTTAACGTCTTTAATCATTTGTCGCAAAAGCGATAATAGTTGACTAATTACGGTCAATCAATAACGTAATTTTCTTTTTTTAAATAAGAATAATATAAACGTTTCAATTTATTAAATCAGTAGTGTAGTAAATCAGGAGAAGTGTAACGGTAATAAAGACTTCAGAAAAAATAAAACATTAATCCTAATTAGCCGAAACAATATCGTAGACTATCACCTTGCAAAGGTGTGAGTCGTTCCCAGCACCGCTAGTCGACTCGACACCGACCCATTGTGCGGTTGAAGCCGCCGTGACGCTACTTACTCCAATTCTGTCTTACGCGCGCCGACTACGAAACATCCTAAGCGACTACGCGGACTTCTGTACAAGCGAAAATATACTAGAACGCACCTCTCGCGAGGCGTTTACGACTCTTCGAAGCCAACAACAATCCGACACTCTGAAGCATAAAGACATAAGTGACAGCTTAACTAGGGTCTGATGAGACGTTGTTCTCCGCGAGGAGGCAGCGTGGGAAAGCCCGTGCCGCGCGCGTTCCCACACACTCGGCCGGCACAAGCCAACCGATAAATTATCATAATTCCATTGTGAGTGAGACGGTACTAAGAAATTTTATACTTCATCAATCGCCGCGTTGAATACATTAGCGCGTGAGCACCGTGCTTTGTTGACTGCTGACGCAAGGACGAAGGACGCTCGACCCACCCGGCATTGGCTCCTTATTTTTTCTATCACGTTTCTATTTTACGACAATAGAAGTAAATTCCGGTTGGGCGACGTCATATGCTGACGTTATAAACTTAAATATCGCGTGTTTTGTATGAAACATAAACGAAATCAAACCACGTAGGTGAGCTAAATAACTGACACGGACCAAATGCGACTCCCGCTACTTGTGACGTAAAACAAAGAGGAAATAAAACGAGCGGCTTAATGTCACAATATCAATAAAAATACCATCATTATGACGTGTTTGCGGGCGGGGGAGGGGTGGGGATACCAGGCCACGAGGAAGATCGCCTATGAGGTGGACTGACCAGATAAAAGCGGCGGTATATGGCTCATCATCATTACACAAGTGCACGAGGAGGGCGGCCGTCACAGAGGAGTGGCGGCTTGTTCTGAAGCTTACTCCCAACTCCTAAAGTGATGACCACGGTCACTCTGTGAAGAGCGATACCGCGAAAGAAGATGACGTGTAGCATTTAGCGTGTAGCAGATTTGTAGCATATTTCTTACTATAAAATACGACTATACCTTTTGTAATTTAGAATTTGTAACTCCATCAGAACAATATAGAGTAGAGACAAAGTGTCGCCTGAAATCAAGCAGCTTGTATCCTGTAATAATTGAAAATCACACACGAAATATTAATTAGTTAATCTATTATTGTAGTACCTACCCTAATAAGTTGGAGAACAGATCGTATTTTCAATTTCATTACGCTTGCTATAAATTAGGTCGAGGTCAGTGACCTACATGTAAGAAAGCGGCATCAAAGCATTGCCATTATATAAAATTGGTTCACAAATGAGATATTATATTTTACTATTTTACGAATATATTTTTTAATACTGCACTATTTAATGAGCTCACGTGTCATCTGATGTAAAGTGGTTAGCGGGCCCCTAGACATCAACAACGTATATCCACTTTGCGACATAAACTCTAAGTTTCAGTTTTATAATACATATGCTACCCCACTCTTCGAGCCGAAACGCATGACGGCTTCGTGGTCGAAATAAGCGAAATGGTAGCTTTTTTTTTCCTACCTAAGCTGGTTGCCTTGAGAGGCTATTCCAGCGTAACCTTAACTAGTAGGTGAGCTCACGGGGTTCAAACCTGACGACATTGCTAACACGAACCCTAGCAAGAGCCGTGCTTCGCAGAATCTACCACCGGATCGTAAACGCGACCCACTGAGAAGATCCGACGAGAAACTCAGTGGGCTGTGTCTGAGGGTTAATTTACTCGTCGAACCCGTCGCTTGCGACGAAGGACGAGAACGGTGACCGGCGCTTGAGGTACTTAAAAGCACCGTTAGTGCATCGGGAGGATCCGAGATGACGTGTTTTGGGCGACGTCGACTGCTTTCCATTCTTTCCGCAGGATCGGGGATGCGAAATGGTAGCACTTAACCGTGCTGGCACAAGACATTCCCCCACCAGTGAGCATCTAGTAATTTTTAGGGTCCCAGTCCTAAAATCGAAAACGAAACGTTAATAAAATCACCTTGTTCCACGTCTGTCTGTCCGTCTGTTCTTTACGGTTTTTCTTAGAAACGGTAAGAGAGGTACGGAAGAGGTATTAAGTTCAAATCAATAGCGAATATTAAGGTCTATGGCGAAAGAAATTCATAAAAACTTAAACTTCTAAATCAGCGCAACCATATTCATTCACTCATAAAAATCTAAAGACCACTAACAGTCAGCTTGCTAAATTCAATATCTTCCGGTCAACTCTGAAGACATTCGAATTTAGCAAGAATCAAGGTTTGCTAAGGAAGTGTCAGAAAAACGGTATATTTGTAGCTTTAGCATTTAAGTAAATGCGTACGAAAATGTCAAAGGTTTTTTTCCAAACTTCTAGAATCGACTCGATTTTATTTTTGTGGCATGCAAAAAGAGAATGCTAAAATTGCTTATGATCGATCGCGTTCTGTGTTTCTAATAAAATATTTGTTTTTATTAATATTTTCATGTTATATTTTTATATGACTTGTTTTTCATTCTGTTCGTACAACTGAAGAGGAAATATAATATGTGTGTGTGAGTGTGTGTGTGTGTGCGTCTGCGTGTGTGCATGTGTGTATGTTTGTGCGAGTGCGCGCGTGTGTGTTTGTGCGTGCACGTGTGCGCGTGTGTGCATTTGTGCGTGTGTTATCTATTTATTATCTATATATGCATATTTTTAAACGTATATTCAGACAGACATACTTTGTCAGTCTCTGAAGGGCAGTGCAGCAGTTCGCAGTTATTTATTATTATTCTTCTTTATTAATTAACGAACTATGTGTAAAACAGCTTTTAAATGAAGTCCTCATTACGTTTGAAATATCAATAGGTACATCGCATTCGAAGACTAAAGCTTTGTGACGGTCATCACGTAGCTGTTCTGTTGTTAGGATCTTTATCGATGTGTCTATTTGCACGGGTGATACGACATTCTTATACAATGAAATACCGTTTT